TGTTTTTGTTACTGTTCAGGAGTTTTCGTGCTATAGCCTGAATTTGGACTATCTGCATTCAAAGCAGATGTTTTTCTATTGAAAAAATTATGTCAACCATTTCTATAACAACGAAGTCAATATAGTCATCAAAAAATAAAATCAGAGTTTATTTTTTTTTTTCAGTTTTGAATACAAAGTCCAGAAGGGGTTTTCAAAACAAAACTAGATAGAATTTTCTCTTTAATTAGAACAATCAATTTTACCATCTTTGCCAACGCTATTGCCTTCACCATCCGTTCTTCCATTGTGGGAATTAATGGGTCCTTCCATTTATGTGTATATAAGATTATCACCACTGTCAACATGTATGAAACAAAGTTCCAAATTTTCTTTCAAGCTCTGTGAATTGGTTTGTTTTTTTTAACTTTGTTGTACTCTGCCCAAAGTCACTTGTTTTGTGAGATAAGCGACTATATAAAATTGAACAATAAATAAAAATGTTTATGTTCTTCTGAGCCTTTATCACAAACTGAAATTGCCTAAATAAATTATTATGGCAAAAAGCACAAGAGAAGCAAGCTTGCAAATTAATTTTTTCCTCTTCAGAAGTGGAGACAGATTTATGTGGAAATATGTGAAAAAGTTACAGTGGCAGACCAAAAGCACAGTTCAGTGACATGGAGAGTAGAAAACATTTGTCAGGAAATGATGCAGCATAAATAGCATTCAGGCAGACCTGAAGGTTCATACAAGGATGGCCTCATATTTAATCATAAACTTGGATTAAGAAAATGCTTTTTGATGTTGTCATTTTGCAATATGCCCAAACAAACTGTATTGTGGTTTAATATTCATCCAACATGCTAAAGCAATGCTGAATTTCCACAGTATGATGAAATACAGAGCCCCAGTTTAGTCTAGATTAGCATATTATAAGACCCCAACTGTGGAATAGATGATGGAAGCAATCTTTCTTCATTCAGAAGCAATGTAGTTTAAATAATACATTTGTCTTTTATGGAACTCTTGCCTGTTTTGCAAATGGAAGCAAACACACTTGAGGTAGAACAGAGAATTGTTTTCATGCTTTTCAATCAACTGATTTGATCCTGCTGAAGAGGTTTTGAATTTAGAAGTCCAGGCTTCTTTGGGTGACTTTCTCCCTCTGATAGAAGCCAGACATCTTGGCCACAGGCCTTCAGCCCTAACTCTCTGAGACACCATTCCCTTTCCAAAGCAATAATGATGCTTCAGGAGCTCTGAATTTGGTGCCTTTCATATTCATCAATTAGTTCTTTCATGTTTTTGAATTGCTTTCCTCCTCAGCTAGGCTAGAGCCTGTAAAACAAACTCTGCTGTACATGTGTGCACGCCTCCTGCTGGCCAGCTGGTCTTTGGGTCGCTGCTGTGCATGCATGCGGGGAGGGCAGAGTGTGTACGGGGTTGCACCTGCATGCGTGGGGGCGGGAGCATGCGGGGGTTGCGTGTGCATGTGTGGGGCATGTGTAGGGGTCACATGCACATGTGCGGGAGTGGGGTGCATGCAGGGTCACATGTGCGAAAGCGTGGTGGGTATGTGTGCATGTATGTGTATGGGGAGGGGCATGTGCAGGGGGCCATGCATGCATTGCATTTGGGGGGTTTGCGCACGCACACGCTTTGGGCACTCGGTCCGGAAAAGGTTAGCCATCACTGTCTTCGAGGCAAATTCAAATGACAAATAGTGGATGTGACCAGCAAGGGGTCAGGAAGTCAGCCTCTACTTCTGCCATTTTTTTCCAATATTTTGTCCATTAGCCTTGGTTTCCCAAGTTCATTGTACACCCATCATTTCCCTAATCATGTTTTTGACACCAACTTTTATGAAGGCTTCTATAAATGGAAGGTGAGGACAAAGCAGATCTCCATTATATCATTTGGGAGAAGAAGAGGAGGCAGGTCTAAAATGTCAGGTGACTGTCTTCCCCTCCCCTCCAAGAATAAGGCGTATGGTCATCCTATAAAGATAAAATAGAACCAATGCCTCTTTCCTTTAAAAACCAGAAATTATCAAACTTTGGCTGACAAATAAATAATCTGACTCTATAGTTTTTAAGGTTGTCTTTCAAGAGCTTTTCTGAAATTACCAAGAGATAGAAGGAAACCGAATCATTGTAGGAATAATAGGGTTATTTCAACCTACATAGTTTTGAGCTCATAGGAAATTTAAGAACAACATTGGAAGAGATGGTTTAATTTTCAAACTGTGGATAAAAGCAGATATTAATATTTAGGAAGGGTTCAAAAGAATCATGTAGGTGAGAATAATGACAGACTTACCAATATGGTTTTATATATATATAAAACCAATTTCTTTAGCAACTGAGAGTTGAGAATATAACAGGAATATAAAAGGCATATAAAAGGCTTTAAGAAGTACTTGGCAATCACTGGTCAGACTCCCTGATCAACTCCCATTAAGGGTCAGGATCCCTGGCCAGTAGCCATGCAGGCTGAGAGATCAGGGAAATTAGAGCACTGCACTATCTGTAGAGTTAAATGATAAAAAACTGCATTTCTATAAATGGAAGCACTGCTCCTTAAACCACTGTGGGAATCACTCGCTTTAGTCTTATAGCCACATCCTGTCACTTTTTTTTTTCTATTGCATTCAACCAGTGGTGGACTAAAAAACCTTGAGTGCATCTTGGTGGATTACCAATTAAAAGATATTGCCTGCTTCACACAACTTGCAGACTAGGCTAAAATGGAATTGGGTAGCTTGTAGCTCAATATGTTGTAGAAGAGATGCATTTTCATAGTCTTGTGGGAACCGTATCATCATATGGATACTAGATTCCATTTCTTTTTCTCCTTCAGTTAAGGAAGAACGTTTATTTTTATAGAAAGAATGAACACACACATAGATATAAAAGAAACGGAAAACCAAAACATATTGCAAATATGAAGTAATTTCTCTCTGAACCACAAATTCCCTAAAACTCTGTAAATGAAATGCACCACCAAGGCTCTGAAGAGCCTTGGTGGCACAGCAGACTAAAGCACTATTAAGTGCTGTTAAGTAACACGAGCTGCCTGCAATTACTGCAAGTTCAAATCTCACCAGGCTCAAGATTGACTCAGCCTTCCATCCTTTCGAGGTAGGTAAAATGAGGACCCGGTTTGTGGGGGCAATAAGCTGACTTTGTATAAAAAAAGAACACCACTTGGCGGGGGGGTGGGGGGTGAAAGCTCTACTAAGCAGGTATATACAAAAAGTATGAAGGCTATTGCTTAATGCATTGTAAGCCGCTCTGAGTCTCCTGAAAAGGGCTGCATATAAATCGAACCAATAAATAAATAAATAAATAAATAAATAAATAAATAAATAAATAAATAAATGTAGGATGTTTATATCCTAAAACCCTCATATCTGGAATAACCACAATATTTATCTGCATTGCCAAATCACTCTTATGGTGTGGGTGGGTGGCATTTATGGCATTCCAGAGGTGGAGCCAGCTTGGGTAATGATTAAGGCTCTGGCTAGAAACTGGGAGATGGTGAGTTCTAGTTTCACCTTAGGCACAGGTCAGCTAGGTGACCATGGGCCAGTGTCTCCCTCCCCCCCCTCCCCTAGGAAGAAGACAATAGCAATCCACTTCTAAAATACCTTGGCCAAGAAACTGCAGGGACTTGTCCAGGAAGTTGCCAAAAGGCAACACTGACTCAAAGACAAAATGAGAAGAAAAGATACAATTGTTAAATTATACTGAATAATCAAAGATTCTCCAATCTCCCTCTGCATTCAGCGGAGTGAAGGCGGAGTGAGAGGTAGAAGCTGCAAAAAGAGAGAGGTAGGACTACTTTGGCTGAACCACATCTAACATGGAGAAAAGAGTGTCATCCTTCTCTGATTATTTATTTGAGAATGAAATAGACAGCCTATCTTGTAAATCAAACAAGTAGATAAACAATTGCAAAATAAAGTAATGAGTACCAACCCAAAATCTTAGTAAAAGCAGAAGAGGAAGAAAGATCTGATTGGGGCTTCTCAGTTGAGTGCTAAACTCAGTTTAAGTTCTGTTTAAGTGTTTTCCTTTATGAAACCAAAAGCACTCTAGAGGAATTTTTTACAAAATAATATCCATTTTAAAATTCAAATGGCACAAATCAGTAGTGGGTTTTAATTTCGGTCGCTACCGGTTTGCTCGGGGTGCGCAAACACTCACGCAATGTACGCATTTTATGCACATGCGCAGAGATGTCTGGGTGGGTAGGCGGAGCCTCCCGCCGCCACCACTACCAGTTCGCCCGAACTGGGGCAAACCAGTAGCAACCCACCACTGGCACAAATGGCAGACTTTTGAGTTCTTCAGAAACTTCTATCAGATTTTTTTTAAAAAGGGAGGAGAAAAATCCCAAAATCAGACAGATATTTCAAACATCTGCTGTCCAAAATGAATTTTTAACATGGAGGTTGCAATACATTGGTAGTGTTGCCCTACTTAAGTTACATGTACTATATATTTTGTTTATATATTAATTACTTTGTAGAACAAAGATCAATGGCTGCTTCTCTCCCATCTTTCAGACTGAAAACCCAAAAGTAGTTATTCTCTCTTAGCTGGTCTTTTGTCAAGGGCAAAGTACCCAAAATCTCAGTGTGGCAGAGAGCACAACTAAAGGGACATCCCAGTCTTTACCTCAGCAAAACTAGAGATTGATTTTAACTGGTTCATTAGATTGAAATGATGACTAAAGCAAATAATATAACATCACTAGTCTGCTATTCAGCAAGCAGATGTTGATGGCATCCCACGCTAAAAAGAATGTTCTTCCACCTCTTTGCTGGCAATAATGCACTTTCTACCATAACTGAGAGCCACCAGGAGGCAGCTGAGCATCCGAGGGAAGCAATGTTCAAGCAGGGCTAGACAGATAATAAAGGAAGTGAACAAGAAACAGACACATTGTCCTTTGATAGCAATCTAGACTCTTCCTGTTCCTCAGAAAGGACTTCTTTTTGACTGCCTGCTCTCTGGTTGGCTAAGGTCTAAGGAGGTTGTGTTACTGTATTAAAGCTGAAGAAAGATCATCTTTTGGCAGAGAAGAAAGTCTCCCCAAACAGAGGATGCCGACTCCCTTCTTACATTTTGGATGCAATGAGTGGTGATGTCCACAGGATTCCCGTTGTATCTAGAGGAGACTTGCAAACGGTTAGTTAATATAGCCTTTTCTGAATACAGTATTGGGTCTTTAATTTTGATTGGGATTAAGCGCACACAAGCCTCCAGTAGCTTTTTTTAACATTGTCAGATGACAGTTCCTGTCATGTGCGAATCATATTATTCCACCATACATGCTGCTTTGGGATAATATAATTCAAAAAGAGTGTTCAGGGAAACGCTTCTAAAACAGAGTTAACTTTATGCTTAATACGGGGTGGGTGGGTGGGGGGTGGAGTTGAGCTGGGATTCTTCCAAGAAATAATAATACTGTTTATATGCAGAAAAAAATATATATTTCTCAGATAATTTCACCTGCTTCAGTACTGGATTTTACATTTAATTCTAGGCAGAATCGTCAGAAGTTAACCCTACTGAGTATATTACAACATAATTTACTGCAAAGTAAAAAAAGTACATAATTGTATTCTACAAGTACTTTTACCACAATATATCCTAAGCTACAATTATTTGAATATTCTACTGATCAATAGGATTTGAAAAGGGAGAAAATAATGAGCAATGGAAACATTCAAGTGCAATATTCCACTATTAGTTTTTAACATGTGAGATAATACCTCTGCCCAATTAGCAACTTTTGCCTCAGACTTTAACTACCAGCAGCCTATAAAAATAAATATTTTAGTGATGTAAATGTGAATCGGGGTCCCCATTTCCGATCAGGAAAAACAAAATGAAACATCTCTCTCTCCTTAGAAATTTGGAAAGCAGTTTCAACAGTGCCAAAGATAGTCTCGCCTTAGCAACCATTTTGCCTGGCTTCTCAAAGGACAAGTGGGATTTTTCCACATGTCTCTTTCCCAATGTTCAGGGCATTTCCATCAAGAAAGTCCCTATTTGTTTTCTCCCTCTTGAGAAAGACTAGAAGGTATCACACTGAGGATGGTTTCTCCTGCTGGCTATTCTGTCACTGTAATAGCTTAATTGACTCCTGTTATACCTAGCCAGATGGTAAGAGTTTCTTTCTAAGTGCCTTCTTTATGAGCTTGTTAAAATAACATTCCTGATGTTTGTGGTTTTTGCTTGTAGAGTGACTGCAACCACAGGTGATGCCATGGACGTCTCCTCCCCACCCCAATTTCCTGACACCTTTCCTAGCAACTGACCTATTCCTGCACTGCTAAGAAGAGGGAAGTTTTACTACCACAGATAGAAAGTGCAGTGTCTGCCCTCCCCTCCACCCTCACTCGTTCTCCTACATGGCTACGCTCAGGAGCATTCTCTAAGTACATGACTCTCAGAGAAGCCAAGCTATAAATAGAACAGCTGCTTCTGGCGATTTCCAAGTACCGGTAAGTTAAAATTAAAATTTCTGGTTTCAAAAGTTAGTGGGAAAGGGCTATTTATGCAAAGAAGCACATAGGATGATATCAAAAATCTGAGCAGAGGAAATCTACATACTGCTCACTAATTTGTTTTTGCACTGGCTGCACTTTTCTTGTGATGATGTGATGTCACATTCCAAAAGACCATGTATGGCCTTTGACCCTTAACATAGTGCACATCTAATACAAAGAATAACATTTTAAAGGTTCAGCAATCTGTCTGGATGTCCTCCATGGCTTTCCTAAGTAGATGTGCACCTCAAATGAAAGCATCACTTGGCAATAGCTGGGCGTGTGAAAGGAGATTTAAGAAACAGTGGAGTTCACAGGAAGAGCAAAGGGAGTTATTTTTTTATCTTACTCATTTCCTCAACCAGAAAAGCCTCTTGAAGATAAAAGTTGTTCTGATCTCTTCTCTAGCAACGTTTAGATTTCAAGGCCATACAGAACGAAGCTGGCAATTTTAAAGTTAACATTATGCTTTTCTTCAATGTTAAAAATAACAATTCCTTTAAATGTGTAAAAGCGGGGATTGGGTAGGAGGCCCATTTGAAATTCCAAAAATGTCACAATGATTACCACGGAGGTAGGGCTTGCTCATTCATAAGAAAATCACTCAGGGGTGGGTGGGTGGCCATCAGACCATCCACTTACCGGAAATGATTGAAGATGTTGATGACCTCATTTTTTATTTTCTAAAAGAAGCTGTCTCTAATGCAGCAGTCCTCAACCTTTGCAGTTTGGCAGCCTGGAGTGGGGTGGGGGGAACCGAGCCACATGAATGATGGACTGGTGCATGTGTGCACACATGTGCATGCGCACTGGCCCACCACTTGCGCAAGTCACATTGTATGCCTGCGCATGCATGCCCAGCCCGCCAGTCACACAGTTCCAAATAAGTCATAGCCTGGTTGTCAGCCACAGCCCAGGGATTGGGAAGCCCTGCCCTAAAGCATTAGTTGGAATAAAATTGTTAACTTGAGACTAGTGTTTTGTTTCATAACATACCGTCCAGTTTATAGTGAAAAGCACCTAGAAAAATAAAAGATAGGAACCTGTCAGACATGACAGAAGTATTCTTGTCTCCAGATTGCTTTGCACTTTCAACCCCCCCCCATTTTTTTAAAAAAAATCACCATCTCCAAATTTTATTCTGGTTCTCTTGGTTGAGGAAAATATTGAATAGTTGAATGTTTCCAAATCCATCATTTTAAAAAAAATCACATTGGAACAAATCTGTTCCAAGTTTCTCTGGCAGTAATTACTGTATATATGTGTGGTTGACAATTTATTAGTGGGATAATAGCGCTGCGCTTTAAATTTCTGAAATGTGGAGTTGCAATTATTCACTTCTCTGTTGTGGTTCATCACACCCTTAACATTTATGCAGTACTTTTTGTAAGATTTCTTTTGCATGGTTTACCTAAAGTCATGGAAGTTTTGCATTAATTAGTACATTATTACAGTATTCACATCATTGAGAGCTGCTTATTTTATTTTTATAGAATTTATATCACTGGGTAATTTATCATAACATGTTATGATAGCTAAGATATAATAGCTAAGAAATGTATCATACAATACATTGGTCTTCCGGGCGCGCTTCAAGGTTTAAAGAACTCCATGGCTTAGGACCTGGTTATCTATAGGACCACATTCTGCCACTGATTGCCTCCCACCGACCAATACGCTCCCACAGAGAGGGCCTCCTCAGGGTGCCCACAGGTCGGCCAAACAATGTAGGCTGGTGACCCCCAGGGAGAGAGCCTTCTCTGTGGGGGCCCCGGCCCTATGGAACGAACTGCCCCTGGACATACGAAGGATCCCCGACCTCCGCGCCTTCTGTCATGCTTTGAAGACCCTATTATTCCAGCAAGCTGGTCTGACAGGATAAAGGTTTTTAAATTGGGTTTTGATAGGGGTTTTAAAATGATTTTAGTTGGGTGTTTTAAATTCGGCCATTGATTGAATTATTTTAATTAAGTTTTTAAATTTTTGTTGTATATTGTTTTTACGGCTGTTCACCGCCCTGAGTCCTTCAGGAGAAGGGCGGTATATAAATATAATAAACTAAGCTAAACTAAACTAATAGCTAAGAAATGTATCATAACTGAACTCTTTCTATAGCTACGGTCATTATTTTAAAGAGAAAGATAAATACTAAGCCATGTATCTCCTGGTTTTATTTATTTAGACTATTTCCTTAGTTCCTTGAGGAAGTTATTTCAGAAGCCCGGAAGATTGTGGATTCTTTATCAGACGCTCAGATGGACTCCAAATCACAGAAATATATTGTATCCTTAGTCTCTAAGCCCCTGGCAGCTTTCATCATTCTGGCTAATGTTTTCATTATATTTGGGATTCTCTTCAATCGCAAACTCCATGGAACCATCAACTGGTTCTTCCTGAGTCTGCTCATTGCTGACCTCTTGGCTGGGGGAGCTCTTTCCCATGTCCCCAAGATGTCGTTTGAGGAGGCTAATCTGAACTACTATCAGTGCTTAGCACGTTATGCTGTGCCCAATTTCCTTTTCCTCTCTTTTTTAGCCAATCTGCTGGTGATGCACTATGCTAAATATACATGCATCAACCAACCACTGCACTACCACCAGTCCTGGGTTTATCGCTGGGCTGGTCTTTACATATGCTTAGCATGGGTGTCTCCCTTGACTTTTGCCTCCATGCCATTGGCTTGGAGCTCTCAATGGAAGCCTAATGAGAACTGTTCTGCTGAGCAGGTCTTATACCAGCCTTACCTCTATGTAGAAACCTATGTGTTCATCATACCAATCATCTTTGCAATAGCTGTAATGGGTATCCGAGTGCTCTGCATAGCCCGAAAGCAGCTTAAAAACATTAAAAAAATGCTTAATTCAGTGAATCAAAGTCAGACCCCATCAGAATTGGAACAACAACTGGACTTGAGGCATGCAAAGAGTATCGCCAGTGTATCTCTCATTTTCCTGGTCTGCTGGGTGCCATATATTGTTTGTTTGAATATATCACTGCATTTAGAAATAAAGGGTAGTATTCCTCTTGCTATCGTTATCTGCATAGGCACTGCCAGTGCTGCTGTAATACCCATCATCCTCAGTTTTGGCAATCGTCAATACACCGAATTTTGGAGCAACATGGCCATGAAAACCTATACAACCTGCTGCCGAAGACAGGGGGGCAAACAAAAACAAAATAATCAGCCCCATGGCAATAACACAGCAACTCCTACAATTCCAGACTGATGCTTTCCAGTGGGAAGTCATCAAATTCCTCACCCACCCATTAAGCAGCACAAATGCTTCAATCTTCTCCCTTCAGCTTGGAATGAAATTGGACTGTTTGCTTCCAGTCATGGTTTCTCATAACCCAGGTCAGAATTCTGCTGTTTGTTGGGGATCTAATGCCATTCAAAAGTTCAGCTAAATGTAAAATGGGTGAAGAAAGAGAAAGGACTTTTCTTTTTCTCTTTCTTGCTGGCAGGCCTGAGAACACAAAGAAGGTTGGACTGCCTTGAAAATACGTTGACTTTGATTTGTTATTAAAAAAAAATGGAGAAGTTGAAAAACAATGAACAGTTGGGAATAGATTCTCCTACACAGCTCTATTGAAATCCCCTCTTCCTGAATCCCTGCCTTCTAGACCTGCTGCTTACGTTAACCCCCTTTCTCCTGACATGGAAGGAAGTCCCTGGTTCTCCATTATAAGAATGTCAGAATAGAAGATAACATCTGAATTTCAGCAGCCTTAGCTATAATTCTTGTTCCTTAAATTCCTTGCAGTGCAATCTAAGGATATTGGGAAGCCATTGGGACATTTGTATATCAAGTAGGCTGAGTTTACAATGAACCATAGGTTCATATGAATATGTGAAATGGGATCATAAGCAGATCAAACCAAATCCAAACACTGACCACATTCTAAAATCAAATCCGTACAATGTAAGATCATCTCTGTGGAAAAGATCTAGATTCATTCATTATGAAGGCATGGAAAGTACGTTAAGTAAATCTTCCATTTCCCATTATCTTGGTCTTGGCTGTCCCTCACAACAACCCCATGAAATAGACAGGGCCCAATTATTCACATGTTTAAAGATGAGGAAAACCACACTGAGGCACACTCCCATTTTCCTAGTATTCTCAACATCATCAATAACACATGGCCCCCACTGTAGAAGAGATTGAATTGTTTAGGTCTATAGTTGATACTGGACTGGAGACTGTAAGGACCGAAACAGGTGAATGTTGCTAATGCTGTTTCAGCAAATCTGAACTCTTGGACCAATCCTGAGCAGGAAACCCAACTCAAGGCTGGGAAGAGAATGGAAAAATGTTCACTGACTGAAAATACTAAGATAAAAAGCTTAAGAATGTATACCTTATAAATCTTAATACTGTATGCTAGGCTCCTTTGATGTGTCCTGCCATAATTAACTCTTCTGTGTAAATACCAGTTCTTGTTTGCAATAAATTTTTTTTAAAAAACTGTCTTAAATCAATGAAGCTTCTGCTAACTACTGAATGGAAGGTTAAGTTTCTAAGAAACAAGGGTTATAGCTGTGCTTGGTGTGAACTTTGATGATAAAGGCTGCTAATAGAGGCAAGAAATAGTTAAGGATTGATGACTTGGTGACGAATTTCATTAAGGTGAAATTGGGCTGGTATTTTTTTTTACCCTGCGGGTTTACTTATGCATCCATTTAATCTTTTTCTGAGAAGAAGCAGGTGCTTTGTGATGTCAGAAGCAAACTGGTTTCCCATTTATGCTTATTAATACTTAGGACCGAGAAACATAATGTCTTCATTAAAGAGGTAAAATAGTTCTCGTGACCTTAATTGGTCTAATTCCCTTTTTAAAACAATGGAGGTTGGGAGCCATTACAATCTCTTATCCTGCAATCTTCCAGATTAGGATAATGTGGACTTTCCATCTTTAGTGATAAAACATCAAACCAATTTCCTTTTTCCTTCATTTTTGCTTAGGGCAGTTTGGGGTTAGCAAACTCAGGCCTGGCTGTTGGGCTTTCAATCACATCTAATAAAAACTAAACATTTCTCATATATATATGAGAAAATATATATATATATTTAAAGGCAGTGGTGTGTGAGACAAAGCTTAAGCAGAGGAAGGCTTTTGTATTTGCTCCCATGTCTGTTTTTTAATTATGTGCTCTGAAACTCTTGCTTCTTCTTTAGGTCGTTATATTAATCCAAACTCTGTTCATAGGCATAATTAATTTGGAAAGACTTAAAACTCTTTGGGTGCCTACTGAGACATATTCTATTTTCCAATGGGAAAAGGGCTAACTTCTCATGCTTTCAGACCATATAGTTGTCAAGGTGTTATTTCCCACCAATTATCAGTTTAATTTGTTGAGTCCAATTTAGCAGAAGTTATTAGGGGAATTATGTATTCACACTGATGAATTCATCAGCTATATCTGCCTTAGAAATGGCAAAAAATTATAGAAGCTGCCACTGAAAATGTCTAAAAGGGAACAAAGTTGTCTACCCTTACTATAGATCTGAAGATACAAAGCATATATGGAACAATGCTATTTATCATAATTAACAATATTCAAATTCAAATAGTTTTATTGTAGTCATTAACCAGCATAGAATTAAGAATATTGAACCTATTCTTCATACTATGAACTGACTCTTATTCATGAAAAGGAAAAGGATGTCAAAAGATCAGGAAATCTCATAGGACAGTTTCATTAAGGGTTTTAAACTATTAGATTATGTAAAGAATTGCAATTAATCTGCTGATCAGCGTTGGGGAAAACTGCATTTTGTTGGTTTCACAAGAGTTTAGGTGGCCAAATTTAGAAAGGATAAGTACTTCAAAGATGAACTCTACTGAGAAATTCTGGCTAACCCAATTGTGATATTGAGTGGTACACTGTCTTGGGATATACATATTTCTGTTTTTCAGTCAATGATAAAAGTTTGAAAATAGTAGGTGAAATCTGAAAGCAGAAACCGAAGGATATTTATGATGAGATCAAAAATCCTCTTAAGTACAACCTACTACAGATTGCAGGGCAAGCCAGAATCAGAAATATTGGGCTCCACCTGATGAAAACAAAGACATCCCGGCAGTACCAAGAATGCTCTCCACTTTTCAGACAGCTGCTCATTGCTAGGTAATGTGAACTCAAACTGGGCAACTATTTTTCCTTATATTTATATAAATAAACTACCTTCTAAGCCCTACCAGTCAAAAGGCTAATACTGCAAGGGCTCCCTGGTGACACTGGAGTAAAAATAATCTGAGCAATGAGCTGTACTGGACCACTCCTGCAAACCCAACAGGTAGCGTATTTGGGTTGTCTAAAAAAAAAAAAAAAAGTCATTTGGAAAGCAAAGACATTGAACAGCACTCTTTCCCAGGCTAACTAACTTAAAGGACAGTTCGGTAGCAAACCCTGATCATTCAAAGGTAAGAAGTTTCACTCTTAGCTTTTGATTTTCTAGCCGAGTAGGCGCTTAAATATCAACCATATATCTTGTCATATTTCTGGTATGAGACAATGCAACACTGTTATGTTCTTCCCTCTTGCCCATTCCAGAACAATGGGCTGGTCTGTGGTTACCAGATGGACGTAGCTATCTAGAAACCATGGTCTAGGCAAGCCACAAATTCAAACAAACCCTCCAAGATGACAGCCTTCTGTTTTTATTTTGTCATAACGTCTAGCGACGTAAAAACGAGCTGTCTTGTTATTGTCACTGAGAGGTCCACGTATTCAAGTTCAGGCTGATCTGCTCAATCTCCACCAGAGTTCCAAAGCCTGCGCATCTTCTCAGGAACATCATTTGATTGGCTTTGAACAAATCTACATGATTTGCTGGAAGGGGAAGCACAAGCTCAAAATGACAAAGGGAAGGATGAGCCTTATTGTCATTTCAGAGGTTGCGTAACAGTCCATTTGCCCCCATCTTAAGGGGAGGAACATAGAAGGCGATACCTCTGACCTCCATGAACATATCTTCAAAAATTATGTGCAAGGAGGCCTCTTTGAACCTGGAAGAAGTACAGAGGTTCTTCTGAGATACATCACTTCAATGCCCACCACTGCCCAGATCCTGATCCAGGCCCCACCCACTTGTGTTTTCTCATAGCTTTATGTACGAAGCACCAGGGATGTAAATACTTAAAAGCCTCTTGTAGAAAACTCCAACAATCAATTGGGGATAGGGTGGCAAAGCTTTCTTTTCAAAATAAGGGTGATCATAAAATGTTTAGTTGCCTCCCTGCAGGATGTTACTAGGCTAATCCCATCCACCCTGCCACAGTCCCATGGGTATATCTGCCGTCAGTCACATGCCACGCTTTCTTGCAGTGCCCAGTCACTTAAATGCTAGCGGTCAGGTTGCTGCACACAAAACACTTTGGCCTGGTGATCACCAGAAGTAGTAACCACAAGTGAAGCATCTCTGCCAAAAAAAGAGAGAGAGAGAGAGAAATGATTAAAATACGCATACGTTCACATATATACTGTATGTCTTAATATGTATGTTTAAATCAAACAAAGAACAAAAGGAAAGAGACAAAAAATATCATGATACTGCAAATAAAACATTAGGATATGCTAAGAGGGAGGCAAGAGAAATAGGCTCCCACTATCATTTCTGCTGAGACTCCAGCTAGTTTAGAGAATGTCTCAATTACCAACTATCAGCAACCCTTTTATCAAATTATACAAAGTATTTTCATCCCAGTGGATAATACAAACAATGCTGTTTTTTAATAATCAGCTTATTTTTCTCCTCTTTCATTCAATTTCCCTTTCCTTACACATCCTGTCTTTTTGACTGTAAATCTCAAGGCAAGTAGTATTTTAATGGAAATATTTCTAAGCCAGGAGACTCTTCGGCTAAAAGATGCAGCAAAAGGCTTGGAATGAGTATGTTTTAAAAATGAATACTTAGATGCAGGAACGTAGCATCAGCCCCAGAAAAAAACAGGAAAAATTCCTCAACTAAGATTCATCAAAAACATGAATAGAGAGGTCCTTTAAAACATTGACCAATAATCACAGTTATGTATGAGCTCGATCCTGTCTATGCTTATCCATCCAATGGAATTCAGCAGGGCTTATTCCCAAGTAGACATGCAATTAATCTTCACAACACCAGTGTGGGTAAAAAAAGAATCACATGGTAGAAATGACAAGCTGAAAATCAAAAAGTCAAAGAGCTCGGGAAGCCCTGTGCTAAACCAATGATTCTGACAAATCATCCATTTTATTTCCTTGTTCTTGCCGTTACTGAGAGCCTGTGTAGTGTAGTCATTAAGATGTTGGACTGGCATTAGAAAGACTTGGAGTCTAGTGCATCTTCAGTCACATATATTTATTGGGTGACTTTGGGCCAATCATTCTCTCTCAGCTGAGCATGTAATAGGATAGTTATTGTGGGGGGGAAATGGGAGGGTGGAACGCTGTATTGTATATACTGCCATGGCCACCTTAGGAAAATATGGGATATAATTCTAACATGAAAATAAACAATGAGAACCACCAACGGAATTGCAAAGAAGAAAACTACTTTACCTATGAAAAGAATCACTTCAGAAAACAGCAGATCTCTTCTTCCCATTCAACCCAATTCCTAAATATCTCAACCTGCTACACATTTCAATCTGAGCCCATTTCCCTGCTGAAACCATAACCCAGTGTTTCCCAAACTTGGCTATTTTAAGATGCATGGACTTCAACTCCCAGAATTCCCCAGCCAGTATGCCTGGTTGAGGAAATAGTATGCCTGGTTGAGGAATTCTGGGAGTTGAAGTCCATACATCTTCAAAGGGTCAAGTTTGGGAAACACTGCTAACCTGTCGTGTGAGATTCCAGTGCCCATATACTGGAGTAATATTACTTAACCTAAACCTTGAGGTAACTTAGCTTTCTACATCCCTTCTTCCATTTTATCCCCATATGACACTTCCAAGCACCTTCCACCAGCATCCTCCAATTTAAAATTGAAGTACTTACTTGTTCAAAGCAAAGTCTAAAATTTCAGCCGAGTGGCCCCTGTATTCACTAATGAGCTTTCCCGAGCGTGCATCCCAGAGCCTCACAGCCCCATCCAGACTGCAAGTGTAGACCACAGGCGAACTTTCTTCCCAAAGGAGCTGCACAATACCTGACTGTAAAAGGAGATGGAAAAGACATTAGTGGAGCATTCCCATCTTCTTGGCATGAATCCAGGAAAATTCATCATACTTTCTTTTGATTGCCCACTCCTAAACTGACCATCACAGAAAATTTCCAACTAGTCTCCAAACTTTCCTTTCTAGGCGGTGGAGAGAATGGTTGGGCTTCAGCTCCAGAAGACCCTGGAGAAAGCAGATGGCTATCCTTGCTTCAACTGAGTTTTAGGACAGTATGGAGACATCACTAGTCATGCCTGGTAATGACCTGTAATGGAGGTGGGATGGGGGCAGTGTGCATTCATCCTAGTACTCCTTGATCTCTCAGTGGCTTCCAGT